GGAGAGGGAGAGGGAGGAAGAAGGAAGAGGGAGGGAGGAAGTGCACACTCTGGTGGCCTAGAGGGGCTGTCTCCTCCCACGTGATTGCCTCTGAAAACTCATTGGCGGGTCAGCTCTGAGTTGTTCCAACTCGTTGGGACACAACAACACACAAATACCTATTTAGTATACATGTTGTTGCTGTTTGGTGCCATCAAGTTATCTCTGACTCTGAGCAATACTGAGTTCAGAGAACAAGCAATGACTGATCTTGCACTATCGTCAAGATCTCTGCTCTGCTCACTCCCATTTCTGCACATCTCTGGTGGTTCAACTTTACCAGTGGCTTCTTGTGAGCAAGATGAATAATCTACAATTTCAATTTGCAACCTCAGAAACCCAATGGACAGTCCAAAGTAATTCAGTGGTAGTAAAGGAGTGAAGGAGGCATTGAATAAATGGTGCTATTTTAGAAAGTGCCTGTGTTTTTATTAGGAAGAAAAAAAGCCTTCCTCTTCTTCACTGAGAATCCCTTTTCAAGTATGATGTTCTTTTCTAAGAACTTTCTCCAAGTATGTTTCTTGTTTCTAAGTAGTGCTCTGCTTGAGCTTCTTTCAAGACAGATTTGTTACTTCTTTTGGCAATCCAGGGCCTACTCAATATTTTTCACTAACACCGCAATTCAAAGGTATCATTTATTCTGGAATCTCATTTAGTCATTGCGCAACTTTCTTTTTTTCTTTTTGTTGCTATTACTTTTAATGAAAGTTTACAGAGACTTTGGATTTCCATTCATTCATTGTTGTACCTTTCTGCCTGCACCACCCTCCAAGTTCACTCTTCTTTTAAAAAATAAAAGAAAAATTCTTTCATTATTAAACAATCCTTCCCCCCAAGTCCACTACACTATGCAGACTTTGTTCTGGACTCCTGTCATGACAATACTTAATCATATATCCCTTTAAACAGTTTTCTCCCGAATCTGTTTCAATGCAGTATACATAATTTATACCATCTTTCTCAGTCTCCTCCAACCCCCAAGGTCAGTACCGTTTTACAATAGTGGCACTATGCAGTATTTTTCCTTTTGTGACTGAGATATATGACTCAGCATAATGTCTTCCAGGGTTACCCATTTTGTATAATATTTCATCATTTACTTGTTTTCAATGCAGCATAATATTCCATTGAATGAATATACCACAGCTTCTCTATCCATTCGTTTGTTGATGATTGTCCAACTTTCACGTGGGCATACTACAAAGACCCATTGCCATTTTGTCACCTCTAACTCGTAGTCTACCCCACCCCATGAGTCTCCCATAGTATACCCTCCAAGGCGGAGGGCGCATGCCAAATGATCAAGCTGGAATGACTGGGGTACCATGGCTGTTGGTCAGTCCATGCTCTTCAGCACTTTTTTTTAAGAGAGCCTTTAGCAAGATTTGCTTTTATTTAATTTCTTGACTTTTGTTTCCTTGGTTGTTGAACATGGATCCACTTAAAATGGAATTGTTGACAACTTTAGTCTTTTCTTTATTGATCAGGATGTTGCTTATTGGTTAATGTTGCAAGGAATTTTTGTTTTCTTAATATTGAGAAGTAATTCAGACAGAAGTCTTTGATCTTTGTCTGTCAGTACTTCTAGTTCTCTTTACATTCATCAAGAAAGGTTGTGTCATCTGCACATGTCAGGTAGCTGTCTTCCTCCAATCCTGATGCCACCTTTTTCTTCATGTAGTCCAACTTCTCAAATTATTTGCACAGCATATAGATTACTGTTGTTGTTACGTATTGTCAAACTGGAACCAACTCGTAACTGGCCCTCCACTGGGTTTTCAGAGGCTGTAAATCAATGGCAGGAGATTGTATCTTTTTCTTACATCACTGCTGGTGGATTTAAACTGTGTGCCTTTGGGTTGGCAGTGCAACTCCTTATCACTAAGCCACTAGATCTCATTTTAGATTTTTAGGTAAATTTAAAGGATATAACACACGCACTTTCTCTGATTTAAATTTTTGCTCTATTCAAATGATACCTTCTTAGTTCATGTCCAGGCTCTACGTGATCACAATTAATTATTCTGGAACTCCGACACATCTCAATATTATCCATTATTTATTAGGACACACATACTCTGCTTTTGCATAGTGAATAATTCCATCTGAAATATCAGCAATGATATGATAGCCTTCATTCCACAGTTTCTTCTGAACCCAGCTTGAATTTCTCACTTTCCTTATCAGTGGACTACTCCAATAGTTTAATAAATTTCAGCAGTTTTACTTACCTATGATATTGTTCAATAATCTCCACATTCTGAAGGATCACCTTCTTTTTATGAACATAAAAATGGATCTTTGCTAATAACTCGGCTGGGTAGCTGTCTTCCAAATTTCTTAGCATGGGTGAATGAGTATGCAGGTTACATCTGTTTATGGAGATACCTCAACAGGTATTTCATCAATTCCTGGAACCTAATTATATATTACCAGTGCCTCCAGTGTTTAATTTCTTCCTTCAGTGCTATTGGTTCTTGATCATAGGTTACTTCCTGGAAAATTTCAGTGTTGACTAAATCTTTTGACACGTGATTCAGGGTATCCTTTCAATTTTCTTTTGATGCTTCCCATGTCATTCAATATTTTGTCCCTTACTATTGCAACTCAAGTCTGAAGCTCCTACTTTAGATCTTTTAGCTTGCAAAATTCTGAGCTTATTCTTCCTCTTTTTCCTCTAAGTCTTTGCATATTTCTCTATATTGCTTTGTTTTGTCTTCTCGAGCAACATTTTTAAATCTTCTGTCCAACTCTCTTATTTAGTCAGTCCCTCCTGGCATCATTTTGGCCTTTCTCTCTTTCCTGTCTGCTTTGAGATGAGAGGAGGAACCACAATGAGCTAGATTGATACAGTGACTACAGCAATGGACTTGAGCATGGCAGAAATGAT